TGCGTCATGAGGCTGCAAACATTTAATCCGTTGAAAGCTGCGGACGTTTTCAGCAGATTAGTGAGGAAAATCTGCGCGGCTGACTCTTTAAAGAAACGGAGAGGATTCAGAGGTTTAAATCCTCACGTTTCGAGAACATGGAGAGGATGAGGCGGAGTTACAGTCAAACTGTTTGAGGAATTAAATCTGAGAGCGAAGAAAAGAGACGACCCAATAACCAGAGACAACACGGAGCACTGATGCTGCCACTAAGTGGAAATTAGAAATCAATATTAAACTTTCTACTAACTCGGGTGGCAATAAATAAGACATGGCTGCTCCGCTTTTAAAGAAAATAGGGTTTCTTAGTTTATATTTTTATGTGGCCAAACAGATGTGACGACAACTGGGCACTAAAGTTTGGCCATCATGTGAAGAATTTGAATCACTTCATTTCCCTTTGGGGTTAATAAAGTATTTCTTAAATTTGAAAAGCCCGAAGCGATGCTCCCTCATTTTCACCACAGAATGTATATACATTTGTTTAAAAAGAGAGAATCTGTGCGTCATTTAAAAATACATTTCATTCGACTTAAAGGAGAGGAAAACCTTTTGTGGTAGCAGCCAGTTTTTATCCCAACAGATACGTTCAACAAATCAGGAAAAAATAGCCAAAAGGGGATTTATTAAAGAATCGGCTTCTACAGCATCTGATTCTGCTGTTTTTATGGGACGAATTAGTTAAATGAGCTTCTATTTAACCAGACTGGTTGTTTCTAGAGCTGCATCATTTATTCTCATTAGTAATCAGAAGAATTGGTTGAAGAAAAACAGCTCAAAATAAATTTTTCATTTAACCATGTAAGCCATTTTTATGCAATATTAATAAATGATAAATATCCTTTTTTAGAATAAGAAAATAAACATTTTATTGTCTAAAGTGCAGCAGCAGCATTCCGATTTACACTAGATCAACCGTTTCTGCTTGTGTAGGACTGAAATGTTGACTGTTTTTGGGTGAAATAATGAATGATTGGTCAGAAAAAGGTGTTTGTTAGATTTATTTTTACATAATTTGAACCAGGTGACATGAAAACTAAGTTAGATGAAGAGTTTTGGGTGAAATAGATTCATAGACAATTGTGGGGGGTTTATCTTAAATGCAAATTTTTTATATTTTTTAACAGTTTTGGCTTAATTGCTGCTCTGAGCATGTTGTTCTTTCAGCAGTTCCACGTTTTTGAGTCTGTATGGTCTAGTTACCTGACTAATCGTTTCCGCCCTAGTTGTTTATTACTGAGGTAAAAATTAAATTTGCCCCACTGTTCTTGGACGGGTGAAATAAAAATGGCCTCAAACTTTTGCTTCTGTTTTATGGAGTCTTTCTCCTCTTCTGTGGCCGCCATCAAAGGTTGAGAGAAAGCACATTTTATGTGATTTTCTGCAGGTATTTCAGCATAAAGCCGACCTTTTCATCGTTATTCTGCCAGTGTCCTGCGGCCGGTTTTCATTCCAGGACTCATCTGCAGACAGCAGTTCAGACTCGCAGTCAGTCAGTCTGGAGGATTGTTTTGGAAATCGTCCCTCGTGATTCCCAGCTTTCTTTGTGTCTCCTCTCTGAAGCCTGTCTTCCGGCCTCCCCCCTCCACAGCGCGTCCCTCTCTCTCCTCCTTCCCTCGCTCTCTCGGAGCGCTCCGCTCAGCTCTGCGCGCTCCTTAACCTTTTACCTTCCTTCCTCTCGGCGTTCCCTTCCCCCTCCGCTCCACAGATTAACACCGCCTGTTAAATCACTGTCTACGAGGCTGCGTCATATTTAATCTGTTAACTGGCCAGAACTTGTGATTTGTTCTTGTTGCATGTCTGCTGGATTGTTGGCATCCTTGTTTCTGCTCAGTTTGTGGTTCGTTTTTAGCTTTTCGACGTGCATGGAGACCACGTGTTGGGCAGATCCTTCTTTGTGTCAGACTTCAGCTAGCTCAGGGCTAGCAACAGGCCTGTCACAATAAATCGACTAATCGCATGATAAACTGAAACAAGCTCAGTAATTTACCAAAAACTGGATGACTGAACTCTTCAGACTGGTGCTCATTTTTTGGAAGACTTTATAATTATTAATTTTATTGTTTTTTTTTCTGTTTTGTTTATTTTAGACATTTAAAATGTTTTCTAGCTCCAGTGTTACATTTAAAGTTTATTGATCTTTAAGAATGACTTCAAAATGGTGTCAAAACAATATTATCGATTATCGCGATAATTTCTGGGAAATATTCTCTAAAAAGTGGAGTTTTCATAAAATTACAACTTCATTCTCTTAATATTACAACTGTATTCTTGTAATATAGAGACTTTATTCTCATTATTTTAGTTTTATTGTCACATGACTTTATTCTCAGATTACTACAACTGTATTTTTGTAACATTATGACTTTATTTTTGTAAAAAAAAAAAATTAAAAAGTCTTGGCCAGACTCTTACATTTCGTCATAGATTTGACCTGAATTCAATGTCCAAATAAATGGAAAAACAAGATGGCCGCCCTGCTTGCGATGACATCACTCTGAATTTTGGAAACACAATGAACGCATCGGCGAAAAGTCCAGATTTTTCACCAAATGTTTTTATCAAAAACATTTTGATCAAATCCTCTTTTTTTTTCTCAAATATTTTTTGTATTTTTTTGGCAAAAAACCAGATTAATCGCCAGCCCTAGTTTGTGCATCAGTGTACGTTTCTCTGTGTTAATGCCTACTTTGATGCTTACATGAAGTCTGCATGCGCCGCTCTGCTGACACGACGTCCGTCTGTCACTTCCAGTCTCTATCTCACACACCCAGGCCGCCTTGTGCAGGATTAAACACACACACTCTCCAGCTCAGACTTATTTGGCTCATTTTATAATTCCTTAAGCCTCACGCTGGAAAAGAGGAAGAAGTGTGCGAGTTTTCACTGCAAAAAAAAAAAAGGAGGGAAAGAAAAAAATCTAGATTGCTGGGTTAATCTGACACTTGAATGTGCAGACTCGGCATGCTGCGCCTCGCTGTCGGCTGCTTCTGGATGCCGTGTTTGTGTGGCGAGATAGCCGGGGCTTTAGGCGGGCAGGTGCAGAGACAGCTGGTGTGGGCAACTCTAACCGAGGGGGAGGACCGGAGCGACGGCGAGATTCCTGGAGAACATCATGAGTGTAGGGTAGCAATTCAGCTGAAAAGAGCAGGAAATGAGGGCTGGTATGAATGTGTCTGCTGGGTTTTCTGGGGTGGGGGGGTTGTGTTGTACCGCTTTGACAGAAAGCAAACTGAGCCAGTGTGCATCTTAGAAAGATGGAGAACCAGGATTATGACAATGGAAGCAGACAAAAGGTGGACTCGCTGCTGCCGCCATTTTCTGCTTTCTTTACATTTTCTCTGACTTCATGTTGGGTGGTTTATCCATCTTCACACCTGATAGATTTGGCTTGATTGGGAGCCAAAGTTGCAACATTTGTTACGTTTTCAGCTGCTGCGGTTCGCTTTCACACCGTGCTGAGTTGAAAAACCTGTTCCTCTCCTCACCTGTGGGGGCGCGGCACCAACGACAAAAACCTCTGAAGAAGACACTGAGCGCAGCGTCCCTCTTTATGAAATGTAAACAAAAATGGAGTGGCGTCAGATTTTAGTGGTTGTAGGATTTCTCTTTTGGTTTTAGCAAAGAACCACAAGCCATTTCTCTGTTTATGTGTGTTTGTTTTGGTTGTATTTACCCAGAATGCCCTGCGTTGTAGTCCTCTTCCTGCTTTTGGAGAGGTCTCAAACCGCACCAGAGTTCACTTGAACCGAACCAAGGTTTTTAGTCGGACCAGAGTTGGATTTATTTGGTTCGCATCAGAGTCCGATTGTCCGTTCACACCTACCTAAATGAACCGAACTTTCTATGCAAACAAACAGTTCAACTAAAGCGAACTAAACAACAGGCCTGGTGTGAACGCAGCCTACAATTACCTGAATTCAAGCACTATTTGGAAAACAGGTGATAAATGTGTAAGTTAAATGGGTGAAACAGCCCTTTACACTAATCTGATGGGTGGACAACAGAATAAATAGAAAACAATATCTTTGCTGTTCAGCTTAATATGTCTTTTTATTCAATAATTTAGCAGCAGAAAAGGTTTTTCCAATTGAAAATGCTGCTTTTTTTGTCAATAAATTGCTTTTGATTTGAATAATTTTTAATTAATTACCTCAAAATTAACTGAATTAAAAAGTTTAATCGAGTTCCACCTTTCACAATAAACAATAAATCTATCAATTTCATGATAAATTAAAATGAGTTGTTAAAGGGATGCACCTCTCTAATATCACTGAAACGCCGGCATTCTGCGACACCCAGAACAAAGTAGTTTTGCCACTTTTGCCTGTTTTCCCTGTCTAAGCTGACTTAAGAATCTGTTTTAATTGTTGTTTCAGTTTGTTTGTTTATTTTGGATCTTTAAAATGTTTTCCAGTTCTAGTGTAAAGTTTTTTGATATTTGAAAGGTTTAACTTGCTTTTATATGCAACTTTACTATCATTTTATTAGTTGAAAATAGTATCAAACAGACGATATTATAGTTATTGCAACAATTTCTAGAATAATTTATTGTCCAGCTATGTTTGTTATGGTTACAGGCCTAATTTTGCTCCTTATTGGGTCACAGTATGTTTTAATTTTTCATACATTTGAGGCCTGGCTATAGATGGTAGAAATGTATATGATTCATTTTTAAAATGTAGTGTTTTCTGGTTTTAAAAACTGTGTAATTTGAAAGTCTGATGCAGTCACTTCCTGTCTGCATCGGAAATATACAAAAGTAATAATTATCTTATGCCGAACTGGTGGTTTTTCCTCTTCTAAACATTCAGAAGGCATGGTGGATCTCTTTGTCTCCTCTGTTTTTCCTCAGTGGATGTTCGCTGCCCTCTAGTGTTTAACAGTGGGCATCCCTCCGCTCTGACAGAGCAGCCAGTTTGTTGCTCATTGCCGTCTCCATATTGTTTTGGTTGCTGCAGGAGGAAGCCATCCCAGAGCTGGAGATCGACGTGGATGAACTGCTGGACATGCCCAGTGACGTTGAGCGAGCAGCCAGGGTCAAGGTGAGGAAAACCTGCAGATTTACACGCTAAAAAACAAACAAAAACAACCTTTCCACTCGTGTGACGTTTCTCTGTGTTACAGGACTTGCTGGTTGACTGTTTTAAACCCACTGAGGTAAAGCAGCTTGATTCTCTCCTGTGCTTTCTCTCCATTTCCTGTTTAAGTTCACGCCTTGTGAGTCCTGTTCTCCTTGTCGCCCTGCAGGATTTCATCTCAGAGCTGCTTGACAAGATCAGAGGAATGCAGAAGCTCTCTACGCCTCAGAAGAAATGATGGCGTCCAAACTTTCCCCACGTTTTCCCCTCCGTCTCGTCTTCCTTCCACGACCCTCGTTTTTTATTTAAGGTCTTCTTCCGCCTCCGTTGAAGGTCATAAAATGTCAGAATTGCTTCTGATCGTAGTTGTCTCGGTCTTTGTTTTTTGCGTGTACCGTGATGGATCTGGACTTCTTTCATCAGCAGAAATGAGCAACTCGCCTTGCGGCTCATCTCTCCTCTCCCCTATTGTCTCCTGTCCTGCCGTTACTCTACTCTTCTCTTCCTAATCTTCCTCCTCTTCCTCCCACCTTCCCATCTGTCTGAGGAGGAGCAGAGTCCCATAATTACTGTAAAAGCGGGGAAGAACATGTAAAATACGAAACGGAGTGAAAACTGCGGATGAAACATGGGCAAATTCTTCAGCCTCCACCAGCGAGATTATGTGAATATTTTAACTTGTTTGAGATTTTTTCCCTCTCCTGGTTCTGTTTGAGGGAGATCATCACTTCACTTAATCTTTTTTAATAATAATATTTTTGGGGTTCTGTTTCTGCCGCCTAAGCACAGGCAGTGCTGCAAAAAGACTTTTTTGGTGTCTCCTAAAGGGCATATACCATCATGTTAGCAACTTCATCTGTGTCCAGACTCACAGCTCAGAATACTTGGATTCATTTCATGACTAAAATTGAGAAATATGTAAAAAAAAAAAAAAAAAAAAAAAAAAAAAAAAAAAAAAAAGTGACAGGAAGAGGAAATGTAAAGCAGCTTAAAGTTGCTGAAGAGAGTAAAATTTGGGTTCATAAAGCGAGAATTTATATGTTTCTCTTTCCAGCATGGAAAATTAAATATCCAAGAGATTGGAGATCTAACAAACCAGCAGACTTCAGGGGGATTTAAAAGCTCTGTCAGAAAGTCTTCCTGTAATTAACTACAGTGGAGAACTTGGGATAAAAATCTGAACCAGTACAATTACTGTTCCAGTTTTGACCAACATCTTTAAGTAAAGATGTAGGTCAGGAAAAAAAATCTATCTTAAGCTATGCTAGTTGTGGCTAGAAGAAGGGAGCTGAGATCAAATAAAAAAATCTAACCAAATGTTATTTGTATAGCATATTTCAGCAACAAGGCATTTCAAAGTGCTTTACATAATAAAAATACAAAGTCATAGAACACGTGGCACATTCTGCCATCATTACACATCAGATCATTAATTAGTATCTCGATTGATGATAGAGATACTTCATCTGTTCTCCTTCACTTGACTTATAAATGATAAATCAAACAAAATCCTGCTAATTAATGAAAAAAAAAACCAGAATTTTCTTACAGGATAAAATTTATGCTCACAAACAGCCATCACCTCGGTCTGGCTGTTGACTCCCTGCTTTTAGTCTCCTGATCGCTTTAACTCTGGTTGTTTTTTAGGGCAACACATTTGAAAATCTATAACTCCTGCTATCCTTCTCCACATAATTGTTAAAAATGTAGTTCTGTGATTACCATGAGAGATTTTCAGACTTTACGTAGTTATCTATATATGGTAGTGCCTTCCTGTTTCAGTAGGCGTGACTCAAAAGAGTCTTTTTGTTTAAAGAAAAGACTTGGATGAGGTGTGTATGTTTCTTAGGGTTTTCTGGCTCTATTATATGATGATATATGCTCTTTTCATAAACCCAGCACTGTGTCATTTTTGGGGGAAGAAAATCTGAACCTCTGACCACAAAGTGTCGTGTAAATCTATCTTTAGTACAGCGAAGAGGAAACTTTGATGCCTGGAAATAGTGATTGAACCTTTAGAAAGACTCACTGGTCAGCCGTCTGGCTGCAAGGCCGGTTTTAGACCTTCAAATAAATGTTTTTGTTTTTATTTGAAGCTAGACCAGAAGTGGGTTTTTTTTCTTCTTCTCTTTTTTTATAGGCTGAATGTGAATTTTGGTTTAATCCAGCCTGCACATACACATGTACGTCTGTGTTGCTATTAGTGTATGTTGCTACATAATGTACAGCAACATCTGTAAGGAGCGTTTTTGGGCCTGTATATTCTGCTGTTACGTAGGACAGACTTTTTTTGGTAAAGGACTGGTTCCTTTTTTATTCCTTGTTGTCATACACACCCTGACAGTCGTAAAGAGGGAACCCTGTAAAAAGCTGCCTTTTTTAAAACCACAGCACCCTGACATCACATTGTTCTGAACAGAGCAGTCACTTCTCCTCTCATCTTTAAGCCATTTTGTTTTTTACCCTTCTCTTCTCATGGCACCTGCCAATCATCTCAAAGAATAAGCCATCTGTTTCTGATCGCCGACCAATCAGATCAGCATGTTGCAGTTCGTCTGCGCCGACATTTACCGGCATTTTACCGTCTGCCTTTCTCTCTTTACTACGGCCCATTTTCAGACTGCTGCTCTCTCATTTCACTCCTTCCTACATTTGATCCATTTCTCAGCCTTTTCCCTTCATCTACTCCATCTCCTTTCTTTAAAAAAACAAAACAAAAAAAACAGATGTTGCCTTAGGTATAATTTATGTTACACAAACCAAAAAAAAGAAGAAAAGAAACAGGAGTACTTCAGTTTTCTTTGTTGCTGAGCAGCTCTACTCTGCCTTGCAAAAATGGGTTGAAATTTTTCACATTTTATGACTTTTACAACCAGAAATTTCACTGTAGTTTGTAGGGATTTTATGTCGTAGATTAACAAAGTGTTGCATAATTATGAACTGGAAGGAAATCTGCTTTGGACAACTACTTTTAAAGTTTAGATGTCTTCATCTTCTTCCACGCGTTTCCTGTCTCTGCTACATGGGTAGCAGAGACTAATTGGACTTCTGGTGGTTTCTTGGTGCATCATCCTAATAAAGGCCTGGTTTATAGTTTTCCAGTCAACATATTCTACCACCTGAGCTGTGGACCTCTGCAGCTCCTACAGAGCTACCATGGCCCACTTACAAATTTGATTTGTGCCTCTTCCATAAGTGGTACTGGTGCTGCGTACCAGTTGTACTCTGAACTGGGAAATTCCAGCTTCCACAGTCAGAACACCCTCTGAAATTGGATTTCCCTCTGGGGAACTGGGATTTGTACAGTGTACTTCCTGTTGCAATATGGCCGCCTCTCACCTCAACAGCAGTAATCTGTGGTGGAAACATTTTTATTTAACAAGACACACATCTACGTGTGCATCTGAATTCAATGTAGCTTTAAACTGAACAAATCAGAAGTGGAGTTTGCTTTTGGAAAGTAAAGCTTAAAATGATGTTTGGGCGCCACCATGTTGAAATTACGGCATCTGAACTAGACGGCTGTTTGCTTTGGTTTGACGTCAAACCCAGCTGAGAGTTCCCAGCTAACTGGAACGCCACATTAACCGCATCTCCATCAGTTTTCAAAGCGTTTGCAGTCTGAACAGTGATATCGAATTTTATCCAACTTTCAATGGCCGACGCTAAGCGTGATGACACTTGGCTTTCTTTTTATTAGATTCCTTTGTCTTGTTGTGATCTTGTAACGATACTGACTCTTATTACTCAATAACTTTCATTGGTGGCTCCATCCGTTGCTATTTCCATAAACATTTAAATGCTGTGTGGCTTTGGGATTGTACCCAAAAGTCTGATTGCAGTTGCATTTAATTAGTAGTATGAACATCCACATAAAACAAACTAAAATCTGATTTTAGGAAAAAAAAAAAAAAAAAAAGTCAGATTTGAGCATCAGGTACTGCTGTGTGAATTTTAAGTGTTTAGATTTTTGTAAGTTTCTATTTTCAGATGACAGAGCTCTGTGAGATGAATGGGATTTTATTTTGGGCTGACAACAGATGCATTCCACACTTTTGAGATTTTATTTGTAGATATCCAAATCATTTTCTTCCCACTTTGCAATTATCCACTACTTTGAGTTTATCAAATGAAATCCTGTTTAAACTCTGAGGTTTGTGGTTGTAACACGAATAAATGTAAAGTTAAACTCTTTTGTAAGACGCTCTGCTTCCTGTGGAGAATCTCTCATCTATCGCTCCTTGTTTTGAAATGTTTTCTTTTTCTTATTAGAAGTGAGTGTTTAATACTTAGGCCTTTATAAAGCGACTCTGTTTAGATAAGCAATGCTATTCACACGGACCTGTTTAAGTCTGGTCTGTTTTTATCTCGATCATCGCACCTCTTGATGCCAAGCCTTGAAACAACATTTAGTTGAACAAAAAAATCCATTCAGATGCATTTTTCTGGTGCGATTGCTTTTGCCTTTATCTGTGGCGTCTCCAGACTGAGCTCCCGGCGGTTTCTCTGATTGGTCGGATTGTTTTAGGCAACTTCAATCAGTAGCTGAGTGGATTTTTGTTTCTAAATTCAGGTTTTGGATTATATATTATATATATCTTCTTAGACTGTTATTGATATGTCTGTTTTTGTTTTTTTTTTTACTGTTGGGGAAAATTGCAAAAAAAATAAATAAATAAAAAAATGTCAAGTGATTATCATTGATGCTAAATACAAGAGCTAAACCATGCAGGACGGAGTAACGGTGGAGGTGTTTTGCTTTGTTTTTTTTTGACAATGATTAGAAAAACAAATGTAGCGATATCAACAGGTTTTGTTTTTTGCCCAATTTTGTTACTCTTTTATGCAACTTTAATAAAAACATTTGAAATGTATATTTTTTTTCCTGTTTTTAATTCAATTCCTTATAGCATTAATTTGTCACAGGATTGACCTCAACACTGCAAAAACACAAAATCTTAACATTTTGATCAAGTTTCTAGTGCTAATACACTTGAAATAAGTCAAAGCTAAGTTGCAAGTAACTTTTCAACAAGATGTAGGAGCTTGGTTAAAGTCAATTACTTAATATTGATTTTTTTTTTAAGTACTAGTTCCACTGGTGGATTATTGAACATATTTTAAAATAAAATTTTGATTCAGGGTTCCCTAGTTTTTACTTTAGCTAATTATAGTTTTGGGGATGTCCTATTCAAAGTCAACACTTCACTCCTACTGAGCTGTGTTGTTGTGAATTATTTCAAGTTGGACAAAATTCTTCCACAGCCATTTATTGCTATTACAAACACTATAAGGAGGGGAATAACCAGTTATTTAGAGGTTTTTATTTTTGCACACGCAGCCATGTTGGCTAGTTGGTAATCTCTCAGTAAAAGGCAGGAACCGTTTGATGCAACATTTGACACCAATAACATCTTCTGCACCTTTTACTTTATGAAGAAGTTCTGAACCTGCTTAACCGTTGGCTCTTTGGTGCCACCTGGTGGTTGAAAATAGCATTACAACATGTCTATCAGTACTTTTCTTTGTGCTTGTAAATATAAAACTTTTTCTATAGTAGCAGGGGAGCAAAAGGTTTGTATACTGTTTATTTTAATCACATTATTCATAGAATATAATATTTAAAAACTATATTTCCTCTCAGTAACAGAGGTCTTCAATTGCCTACAAACTTTGTGATGTTTTCCACATTTTGGCCCATTGCAAACACAAACAGATTTTATATATCCAACCAAAAGAAAATATTAACTGTCAAGTGACAGCAAATGATGCATAATTTTCACAATGTTATTCAAATAAAATCTGAAATCTGTTATTATACTTTTCTGAATTAATACTTTAAACTGCGCGGTTCAGCTCTGCCCCTACTAAAGAAACACATCCCCTCAACATGATTCTGCCACCGCCATGTTTCACAGTGGGAACAGTTAGTTTTCTGCCTAATGAAGAGTTTTTGGACTAAAACTGTGTTACACTGTAATTATACATGCTAAATTCTGTATCTTTTCAATATTAATAAAAGACAATAATTTATTATGTCACATTAAAGTCAGAGTAGTAACTAGCTACATTTACTTAGTTATAATTACTTCACTAACTTTTTGGAAAGAAGAAATACTTCTAGTAGTTTTACTACACTGCACTTTTCTCTGATATCTATATTAAAATTATTTTTAAAAAGTGTTTCCAATGCCAGAGTTTGCTTTCTGTAATTATGTTATTTAATTATATTAATTATTTTAGTCTTTAAAGCACCAACATTTGAATATTGCTTTATATTTTTGGTTGTAAAATATATAATTAAATATTATGATCAGCTACTTGAGTAGCTTTTTTACAAAAATACTTTTCTACTCTTGAATGGCTTTACTTTTAGTTCAGTAAAAATATGCTGAATTATTATATTATATTATGTGATTGGCTTGTGTGAGATATTCTTACATTTTTATTGGACGACACCTTTGCGGGATGGGCTTTCCTATTGGACAACTTCACTGGACTTCTCGACGCTGATTGGCTGAGCTGACGGGCTCGTTGAGTCCGGCAAAGTGTCGAACAGAAGCGGAGCCAGACGAAGAGGAAGTACTTTTCACAATGGAAATAAACAAGTAAACCGAACTTCAAACTTTCTGCAGCTCAACAACCAGACAAGGTGAGCTTTGGGGTTTTCCTGCCTGCCGCCAGATGCGGCGGGCGGTGATCTGATTACAAACAGCATCGGCTGCCTGCCTGTTCACTCGGAGGGGAAGAACGGCGTTTGTTAATCCGAGTAATTGCTCTCCTGTAGATCAGTCCAAAAGATGCTCCGGTGTTTCTCTGCGCTGTTAAGCAGCGTTACCCCGCCTATTATACTGTCCAGCGTTAACCGTCGCATCTGTTTATAAAAAATGAGCCGTGTTTGGATGACTGTAAATACGGCGAACAGTGTTTCCCTCGCTGTGTTGTTTCCATGTTAGCTAGTGTTGCACTTGACTTCACTGGCCGTTTACCGCTGCTTTTTAAAAGAATACGAGGAAATAGTTTTCACTTCTACCTTTCGTGATTTATTAGTAAGAAATACATTCAATACAACTCAAATTAAGATGAAGTTAGCTGTTTAATTGAGTTTAAATGTTGTCGCTCTCCCCATTTACCGTTTTTTACTCAATGACATCACGGAAGCTACGAAGAGTGAAACTGTCTAGATTTAATGCTTGACTTCCGGTTTTTACCAAAATAAAGTTCTGTTTGGAGCGGTTGCACAAACTTTCGAGGAAATTTAAAAGGCATTATCTATTTATTTATTATTATTTTTGTCACTTGGTACAAATCGAAATTAATTTTAAAAGGTTTACCCATTTTAAACAAAAACACATACTATTTCTTTCTAAGAAATAAAAATATTAATTTCCGGTTAAAGCCAATGTTTATGTAGCTTACTTCATATAGACGGTAAGAACCATAAAGTGGCTCAGTATCTCACAATCTGCCCTTCATTCATTTTTATATATATTTATATACACACAAAACAAAATAAAATACTAGTAATATAAAAAAGCAATAACATTTTGTTGCCTAATTCAATTCTGTCTAAATATCAATTGAAACATTACACTTGAGAATCAGTGATTGAAGAACATGGTTCTAAACTTATTGCATTAATATTTACTGGCATTCTGTAACTTTAAATTGTCTTAAAATGTTAAACGATTGCAGATAAACCAAAAACAGCTGAACTCAGTGATAAAGAACACCTTTCTTTATTTGAAACAGGAGTTTCTATACCTTCTGATACAGTGGAGTCAATCTGTTGAGCTAAAAGAAAGAAAATCACATTCATAGATAGACACTTTAAAGCTGTGTCATCCATTTCCTTGTTTGAAAACAATATAAAATGTGTAATTATTCTCTCCTCTGAATGTAAAATACTCCCTCCAGCCCTCCATGCCTGCCCAACCCGCTGAGAGGGAGCCGGAGGAGGAGATGGAGGCAGACGGAGAGTCGCAGCTCCCCGAAGCCAACGTAGAGGTGGAGGAACCGAAGGACGCTGAGAGGATGGGGGGAGGAGGAGAGGAGACGATGGAGGAGAGCGTGGAGGAGAGGGACAGCGACATGGAGGAGAGTGAGGAGGTAGAAGAGGAGGAGGAAGAGGAAGAGGAGAGTTCAGGTAGGAAATCTTGTGGAAGGAAAAACGTTTGAATGAAACCATTGCTGGTGTGAAACGTCTCTCTCCGAAGAAATGGACGATGAGGACTGCGAACGGAGAAGAGGAGAGTGTCTAGACGAGATGATGGATCTGGAGAAACAGTTCCAGGAACTCAAAGAGAAGTAATTTACTTTTTTTCCGTTCATGTTGCCCATGCTGTTCTATAAATAATAACTACAGATATTAACTGCTTACTAACTGGGACATGTACTGTCCTAAACAAAGCAACACAGTGCTTGTAGTTTCAAGATACCAAACTACATGTCTCAAAATAGAGCCAGCACTTTAATGTGTTAGTTTCAATTAATTAATTACAGATTTTTCATTTTAATTGGATTTTAACATGTTAAAATTTAAATGCAGTTTATCAGAGTATTTTTTTTATTATTTACATGAGTCCCAGCTGAAAACCTTTGTATTGTGTTTCTGGTAGACCTGCCACAGCAAATTTGGCTAGACGATAAATTGTCCCAGAAGTTATTGCGATAAACAATAATATTGTTGTTTAGAGATCATTTTTAAGTGATATAATGGTAACAGCATTGTAGTGGGAAAAAAATACTTTAACAAGAGTCTGGATGAGAAGAAATAAGAAGTTTATTAAAACCTTACAAGGTGAGAACAGAAATACAGAGTCAAAGGCGTCTGTCAGTCTGCTCTGACCAACAGTGGACCTGGCTTCCTTTTATCGGTTCTGGTCAGAGCAGAGAGACTTGATTTGACAATAGGTGTGAATCCCTGATTGCTATGCATCAGGGGTTCTGTGGAGTCCAACTCAGATGATCTGGCCGTTGGTCTATGTAAAGGATGTAAAGGTTGTTCTTTCATGCTAAAGAGGACAGATGAGTTCTACAATGGGGAAGTAACACTTAGACAGTCTCCAGGATCAACGATGTCCCCTGCTGTTATACGGCACCGTAGAAGTCTATAGGAGAGCAGCTTGACCAATCTCATGATTGGTCAAGCTGCTCCTCATCATGCAGGCACATCATGCAGGCACATGATGAGGAGGGGTGAGGAGCACATTATACAATTTTCCATTACAGGCATAATAATGCAACTACACACTCTCAAAGATCAATAACCTTTAAATTCTGTCAAACATTTGACACACTGGAAATGGAAGATATTAAAAATATCCAAAATAAATAAACAAACAGAAATCAAATTCATTATGAAGTTTCTGTAACCAAAATTGTCTAAAAGTTGAGACCAAAACACCAGACTGGAGATCGGTTTTGGTAGAAAGAGAGAAAAAGGAGAATCGTACAAATAAAAATTATTGGGCTAGTTTTAATCCATCATGTGATTAATTGATTTATTATTTATCATCTGATATGCAGGAATTAGCCCTGATGCATAAGTGACATCCAGAAACAACAGCAAAGACGACAAAGTGCTTCTCTTGACCCACTGGGATTAATTGTTGCTTCAAAAAACGATCTGATGAAACTCTAGAGAAGACCGTTGCGCTAAAACTAGTTAGCATATCAGTGTAGCTATTCAAGCCTACGGTAGCATCTCAATGCTAAACATGCAGCAGCAGCACAGACGTCGCTAACGTCCACAGCTACATTTATAAAGGAGGATTTTTTTTTTAAAGAAACTACATAAATGATCTCAGATTCTTGAAAAACTTGAGCTGAAATCTGATGGTTGAATAACTCAAACAATTAAAAACAAATATCTTTATTGCTGAGCTAATATGTTTATTCAATATTTAAGCACAAAAATTGGTTTTTGAATTGAAAATGTTGCTTATTTTGTCGATACTTTGGTTTTCGACTAAAATACGATCAACTGCAATTAACTCAAATTTTAATCTTGTTAAAACGACTCAAGCTCTCATCTGCTCAGCCTGCCCCAGTGTTGTTTTCCCAAACAGTCTCACTGAGCTGAGGAACATGGCCGACTTCATGGTGTTTGCAGGTTGTTTCGTGAGCGGCTGAACCAGGTGAAGGTGAAGCTGGACGAGGTTCTGACCGGGAAGGCTGGAGAATACAGAGAGCCCCTGGCTGCTCTACAGAACAGCATGCAGATACGAACACAAGTGGCCGGTAAATCAAACCTCCAGCATGACGACAAACAAGGACTCTGATAACCTTATCCTCCTTTAAGCTGGATTATTTGCAGTACTGGTAAAAACAGGCATATAGTGATGTCAAATCTGATACAATGTGTCTTAAAGACGCAGTTATTAACTTAGATTTTATAGACAGACACCAAAATGGAAAAAATCTAAGAGACCTCTGCACTGCGTCTTTTTCGTTATTTTTACCATTTCTCATTTTCTGCTAATAAATACAACATTTTTGCTTGGAATTACACAGGCATGTTGTCAGTAGTTTATAGAATAAAAGAACAATGTTAATTTTACTTAAACATAAACCTATAAAAAGTAAAATCCAGACTGGAGATCGGTCTGATCGAGAAACTGATCATTTTAAGTGGTCTGGTCATTCTGCCTCTATGACCAGATGGATGTTTGGACCTCGGGTCTCTCATGCGCCTCTCTGGTTTCCTCTCCAGGAGTTTACAGGGAGCTTTGTCTGCAGGTGATCAAACACAAGCACGACTGTGAAGTCCAGGGGGCGAAGCAACACCTGGAGGTGATTCAGTCTCATGCATCAAAACCACCACAAACACTAAACCTCAGTCCTACATTAAACTTTAGAGCTGCATGTCTTTTAAAAAGTATAATTCTTGATAAATATCTATCTTGCATTTAATCAACTATCATTTTTATTGGTTTTTCTATGGGTTTTGAGAAAGAGGCAACATTTTTGTAATTAAGTGGGTGGATGCATTTTCTTCTATGGGATGCTGATATTGGTGGAAAATACTACAAAAGTCCTTTAAGGTTTATACATTTATACGTAATGTGACAATTAAAATTTTCTTTTTTTATTCTGAAAAACCAGCAGATAGTTTCCAAAATAATTACAGAAAAAGACTTAAGAAAATTGCAAGTTGTTTTTCTGATTTTATTTTATTTTTTGATGGGATAACTGCACTAAATATCTACAAAAGAATGACCCAAAATTAAAATAACCTACTTTTGAATTTTGAGTCCTTCATTTGTAGATATTTAGTGCAATTATGGCATAAAAGAAATCTGAAAAACTGCTAAAGCCTGCATTTGTCATGATATGTTGATTTAAATACATTAGTTGGTCTTTATTACTTTTTGCCGAAGTTATTAAGGTCTAAAGAGCCGCTTGCTGCCCTACTATAAAATAGAGCTGTAGATAATGATTTATCCTCCTTTAATATTAAGCTTTGTCTTATTTGTCATCAGAACCTCCTAAATGTATGTAAAACAATACGTTTTCTAGAACATGTTTTTACAGAAAATGCAGGTAAAGATTGTATTGGTCTTCCACATCAAAGTGTCAAATCTAAAAAGTGTGGTGGGCGTTCAGCTCCTCTTAATCCGACTCCTTTAATAAATCCAGTTGAGCTTCAGATTCATCCAGTAAGTGCAGAGGATAGTTCGGGTGCAAATGGTTCTTGTCGCACAAATATTCAGAACGATTGTTGTCGCTTCCTTGGACCGATCCAAACGGCTTTTGGAGCGTGTTGTTGACGTCGCCACCTGGTGGTTTAGTCATTCAGCTGACCTGAGTGGCGTCTGATTGACCCGTTTGGACCTGGAAGCCTCACAGTGACTAAAGGTTGACGGTGTTTTTGTGCTGCAGAGTGAGCGCTCCCTGCTGTTTGACGCCATGAAGGCGGAGCTTCTGGAAAAGATTCGCAGGCTGGAGGAGGACAGGCAGAACATAGACCTCACCTCAGGTAAACGGTTACTATGGAAACGGTTTCGTAGACATGGAGTCGCGGTCAGATTATTACCAGTATTTTACATGTTTGGGATGAATTTACATCCTTCTTTCCTTCCTTGTGCCCTTACATCGTTAATCTCTTTTCTTTTTCTGTGTCCTTCCTTATTTCCTTCACTGCATCCTTCTTATGTATCCTTCCCTCTAGTCTTTGTTTTCCTCCTTCATCTACTCTTCTTTCCTTTCTTTCTTAGTTCCCATTTTGTTCCGTTTCTCCACCTTCCTCCTTACTTTCACCATTATTTTCTCCTTCCTTCCATCCATTGTGTCCTTTGTTCCTTCCTTCCTTTTTTACTTCCTTCTGTACTTCTCTTATACCTTCCTTCCATTTCTTGTGCCTTTCATTTCTTTTCCTACATCATTCCTTCCTTTCATACCTCCTTCTATGTTTCCTTTATGCCCTCCTTCCACTTATCCTTCTTTTATTCCTTCCTTATATTTTTTTTGCCTTCTTTCTGTCCTTCCTTCTTTTATGCTTTCATACCTTCCTTCCTTCCTTCCACATTTCCTTCTTTTCATACCTTCCTTCCTTCCTTCCTTTCACATTTTCTTCCTTTCATACCTTTCTTCCCTATCTTGTGCCTTTCCCTCCTTTCACCCTTTTGTTTCTATATTGTTCTTCCTTCCTTTCAAACTTCGATCCCTCCTTTCCCTCTTATGTTCTTCCTTCCTTTTGACTAAAACAGAAAAATTTTCAGAAACTTTGTTGGTTTCTTCATGTTGATATTCTGTGTGATTATTTATAGACGTGTTTTTTTTCTGCTGCTGCTTTTCTTTGCTGCAGAGTGGAGCGATGAGATGAGAGGGAAGAAGTGCAAAAGGAAGAACCTGCTCGGCCGCTCGGACAGGAAGAAGAAAGTGTCTCTAGTTTCAGGTAAGAAAAGCAAATCTTAACGACCCTCCTGTGAACAAACAGGTTCGTTCAGGTTAAAGCTCCGGTTTCGTGTTTCAGGGCCGTTTATCGTCTACATGCTGAGAGACATCGACATCCTGGAAGACTGGACCGCCATCAAGAAGGTTAGAAGTCCACTTTCTCTAGTTCTTTATGTTAATCACTTAAAATCCTCATAAATTACAACAAAATAAAAGGGTCTGAGTATTTCTGCAAGATGATTTTTCTCACAAGATAGAAACTTCGTAAACTGCTTTTAATAACTAGAATCAATTGGAATGCATTTATGATCAAATTGAAATGTTTTTTTTTTGTATTTTGTAAATTTCCTTGAGACACTGGATGTGAATTGGTGCAACATGATTAAACTGAATTTAATTTAATTAAAGCTGATGAGAAATAAGACAAAACCTGAAAACTGTTGACATTTTTCCATATTAGTTCATGAAATATTGACCAGAGATCTTTAAAAAGCAAATTAAGATAAACTAATAGCTACAACATGATTTAGAAGCTGAATAATTACAATTTAACAGATAAAATAATTTATAAGAAAGCAGCATATAGAGGTCTATAGGTAAATAAGATATTTAAAAAAGAAAACTGAAGTTCCTCTCCCCCCAGTTTCTCAAAGTGATATAATTTTTGTTATAGTCTTCTACGGTATATCTATATTATTATTATTAATACTTTAAGAGTGTTTTCAGTGAATCTCTATATCTGTTGCTGTTGCAATAAATTTTGCTAGACGATAAACTGACCCAGAAATTATTGCAATAAATGCTAATAATTGAAGTAATATATTGGTAATGGCTTAATAACAAACTTTAATTTTGTGAAGAACACTGAACACTGTAACTGGAAGATATTTTAAATATCCAAAATAAAAACACTACAACCAAACTCAATAAATAAAATGGAAATTTAAAACAACACACTCAACCTGAAACTAAGTAAAAAATAAAGTGTCTCAAAAAACAAAATTGCTCTTCAAAAATATTAATCATCAGCATAGAAATGATGATAATTTATCATGCTAATTGATTAATTGCTTGAGGCGACAGACTCAGTTACATCGGAATAAAGGCTTTTTCTATCCAAGCTCTGTTTCCACATATATATAGTTTTAGTGCTGTTAAGGTTTTAGTTACAGTTTGGTCATTTACCTTCAGCGTATTTGTGGAGCAGGAAAAAAGAGTTTGGATGCCTAGTGTCGGATATCGTCAGATTCCAGTCATCCGCCGATCCATCGGTGCATCCGTCGCAGTCGCTAATATAAAAGCATTTCTGTGTCTTCCAGGCAAAAGCGGCGCTCTCCCCACTAAAAAAGAAAGTCGAGAGTAAGTTCACTTCAGCTGCACAAAAACCTGCCATTCTGCAAGTGTTTATTTCTCTAACTGTTTCCTCTGATGTCTCCCAGAGCGGTGATGACGTGAAGAGCCGAGCTGCACACACCAAACCAACCGAGGCACAACATTCCCAGTTTCAGACTGAAACACAGCAGCTCACGCTGCTCCACTGTTTTTGTTTAAGTCTTTGACCCCCAACCCGACTGCTTGTTTATCTGTTGCTATTTAAGATGCGTTCTTAATGAAATGACAACCATGTATTTATAGAATGATTTATAATGCTGATTAAAATTTTAATCTTTTATGACACAAGCCTTTTGCTGTTTGTTTATGAGAAAAAATAAAACTTATTAAAAATGAGAGAAAAAAAAACTTATTAAAATGAGACAGAGATTAACAATCAGAGAGTTAGAGACCAACAGAAAATGCACACAAGTAAAAAAATAATAAAGAAAATAAACAAGAAATAAAAGAAATAAAATATAAAGAATAGAAAAAAGTTACAGTAAAATGTGGTTTAAATTTTTTGTTCAAGATGCACCATCAGAAATGACTAGTAAGTAGGAATGAATAACAAAGGTGTTTTTCTCAGTAAATTACCTGTTGAGACCCATAGGAGCCAAACTAAGATTCAAATGTTTAGATATGAGTTTGGTTCAAAGATCTAATCTCTGCTACACCTTTACAAAAACTAAAGGTTCTAAATAAAAACAAGTTTTAATAACTCCACTTAATAAAATTCTTCATAAATATGGATTTATTGCAGTGGTTTTTACTACAAGTCATGTGTTATTTAAATTATAACTTGAGTTGCTTTAAACTTTTATTTTTTTGTGGGGGGGGGGGTTCATGTTAAAACCTATAAATATGTAGGAATTGAATATTTGGGAAGTATCATATCATAACTTAAACTTAAAGGTCAGCACCAGAGTTTTCTAGAAAAATATTCAGATTTTATT